TAGCAGCACATCCAGGCGTATTTGGCTTATCCAATTCAGGATCGTGGATGGCTGAAGCCCATCCCAGCAGCCAGGTCGCCAGCCTGTCACAGGGCCAACACAGACAGACCCTCTGAATGGAAATGTCAGTGCCTTCAGATGTACCATGTTCAGAAGGCAGTAGCTTGTTGGGGGGGGGGTAGGGTGTTTGGTTTTCAGGGTGCCCACAACCTTTCTTTTCCTACCTGTTTGTACATAAGGCAGTATAATGAGAAATAGTCAAATTTCTCCATCTAAAATAAAAAATGCATATACATATATATATATATATATATATATTATATATATATATTATATATATATATATATTTATAGCAAAGTTGCAATTAATTTGAATATTTTATCAAATGAAAATCTATGTTTTTCTTTAATACAGCTTGCAAGTTTTATCCTAAGTATAATCGACGTTCTTACTTAAAAGCTTATTTAACATCCTTTGATTTAGTATAACTTAGTTCTGTCCAGGAACATTGTGAACAGAACAGTAACAGAGGAGTGCCACTGGAACACCCACTGGGAGACTACTGGGAACGAGCCTGACTTATGGTTGGCAATACTAACCAGGTTCACACTATAGGTGTACAGAGACTGGAAACATCTTTCTCACACACATCCAGGGATGTCTCCAACGCTCTGACAATTTTCAGTCTGGGAATTTTGCCCATCCAAATGATGAAAACAACAATGGTATTAGAGTCTTTCTTCTTTAAATGACTGGCAGAGTGAAGCTGCACCATCATCACACAGATGCAGTCATTTGTACCCGCCGCTAAAGCGTAAGAAGACGCTGCAGTACTCTGCGAAACGACAGGTGTCGCCACTCAGATAATATCACATCACTTTTTTTGTGCAAAGTTCTTTCCACAAACTTACGTTTTCAAACATTTGCAACAACTCTGTGTGTCAGTGTGTCTCTGAGCCTCTGTGCACGATTATTAGTGAAACGGTGATAAAAACCAGTGCAGTCACAGACTCGTGTTCAACCTGGCTGCAACACTGACAGTCTGCACACGTCAATCAATGATTTTGGCCTCCTTGTGTCCCAGCTCACACAAGATGACATCAAATTCCTATTTAAATGCGCATTTTAATGCATTTCAACCCTCTGTCGTGATATAAATGTCTTTGCTACCTGTGGGAGTCCAGCTTGGGTTGGGGTCTCTTCACGCCTCTCCTTTTAGCAGTAGGGACATCAGCCAGCTGTGATACCTCACCTTCATCTCCTGCATTGAAAACACATGACAACAGGATGTGTTTCTAACTCATTCTGTTGGCAGCGTGGCAAACTTCAAGCTTATCTTTAAATCCAGACAAATTATAGACTGGAGGTTACAGAAGAAATGTGCTGGTTTGAACAGTATCTGATAGGTTTCATTTGCTCACGCAAACAAAAACATGTGTGTTGTTATTGTTAGAAACATCCAGTCTCAGAGAGATGCTGAAAAACCAGTTCATGCATTTGTTAATTCTAGGCTGAACTAACAAATTCATTATTATCAAGCTGTTCCAAAAAGCTTTGTGGAAGGACTATGAGAGGTTGTATTTCTCCCACATTAGCCTTTTTTCCTGAATCTTATTTTTCTATGATTCTTCATTAAACCATGAATTTAAAATACAAAGTTCTGAATCATCACATCTTAAAGACCTCATAGTAATCCTGTAAGAGCACAGCAGCATCTACCATCTGCAAAAGGGTCTCCTTCCTCCTGGCCTCCCCGGCCTGGGGAGTGTGGTGGTGGGAGTGGGGGGAAAGCTTCATCCTCTATGCCGTCATAGTCAGGAATGTCCTGCGGGCTATTTTCCTGTGGGTCAACCATGGTGAGTCGGTCCTGGAGACAAAGTAAAAGACGTGTGAGCCCCAGTCGTCAACAGCATCAGCATTAAGTTACATGAATTTAACTGCAAGTTGAAAAAATGACTTTTATTTCTGTAAGAGTAATTCTTTACTGTGTTACAACATCAACATGAAAACCTAAAAAAAACTGGCATTTACTTTTTTCTTTTTTTACATCAACAGGAGGAGCTGTACAGACACTCATCCCACCTGGAATTATACCCCAAATTCAGAAATGTACTATTATGATACATTAATGGTCCATTATGTTTGTTTCACAGTTATATACATAATACAATTTATAGATTTGTATATATTTACATTCTATCAGGGATGAACTGGTTGTGAACCTTTGGGCTGATAATGACATTTAAAAGTTACAATTTGGATGAATTATTACTGCGATACTTCTTTTGGACTCTGTAGTACCACAGAAATATCATTAAAGTAACAGGTTTGTTTTAAAGTCTTTCAGCTGTTCCGTAAGCATCATCGTCATCATCATTTATATAGCACTTTAAAAACACACCTGGCAGACCGAAGTGCTGCACAATACAAATGTAGTAATAAAATAGCAAAAACAAACATAGCAATAAAGTAAACTCTTGAGCCAAAATGATGTGACACAACTAGGGCTGCCACAAACGATTATTTTGATAGTCGACTAGTCACCGATTATTTATGCGATTAGTCGACTAATCAGATCATCATCCACTGGACGTAAAACTACAGCTTATTGCACCATGCAGCATATGCTCTTATATAACTATCATTAGCTTATAGCTTTAAGCTTTTAAGGTGCTAACTAAAAATAAAGACAAGATGATAGTTTATTCAATTTTAATGAAATTTGCAGATTGTTTCGGTGAAGTTTAATAAACTCCTTGCTATCTAAAATATAACAGGACAACGGAGTATATTCTCCAGCATCTCACACTTCTGATAATCAGCTGTCTGCTTGACGTTTATTCAGCTGTGTAAAAACTATAACTTTAATCTCAGACAAACCGATTTACTCAGGAACAAATAAAATACTAAAAAAAAAAAAGCCAAACAACAACATTTTTAATTTATCTAAGTGACTCATATATATTTAACCTGAGTAGCGAAAGACGGCGGTGGGTTTGAAAACAATTTGCCTGGAGTCCGATGTTCTCACCGTGCTAGTGACCTAGCCCCCGGCTAGCTATCGAGCTAGTGGGTAACAGACGACTCTGAAAACGTCGGAGCGCTTTTGAAAATATGTGGTGTCCTGATAAACTGAGCCGATATTTGAGGTTTACACAGCTACATTCTCGGCTGAAAATATGTTAAACGTTTATTTTGTGACCCAGAAAGAATAATAAGAGTAATATTAAAACTAACTAGCTGCCGCCATTGTTGGAAACTGAGCTGGGCCGCGCTATGAATTCTGGGACACAGCTGCTGCTTCTTCTTCTTCTTCTTCTTCGGGGTTTAACGGCAGCTGGCATCCTTGTACATGCAGTGCTGCCATCTTCTGTTTCAGTCCGTTATTACACTCTTAAATCCTGCTACTTATTCCTGCGTCTTTTGGGATCTTACAAAGCTTCAAACGACGCGTCGACTATTAAATCAGTCGTCGACGATTTTGATAGTCGACGTAATCGTGACTAGTCGACAAATCGTGGCAGCCCTAGACACAACACAGACACAAAAGGAAATCTTCTACATTGTTTTGCTGTTCACACAAGTTCTAATGCTACCCTTTGTTTCTGGAAGGAGACGATTTTCTGTCCAGTATTAAAGTTCAAAGAACAGGGTATCCGTCTCCAGTGGGCTGCTAAACAAGTTTACCAGAAAAATCAGACCCACGGTCATGTTGTGTCACTTTGAGTGATTAGTCAGCAGCAATAACAGGGAATGACAAACTGACAGACTTTGGATATAAAACAAACAATTTAAACATTTAGAAGTTAAACATCTTCTCGGATTCCTTTTGCTGCACATGTCTATGTATGTATTTGCTGTACAGTGTCATTTGTTTGGAACATTAATCTTGATGTATACATAAACATTTGATTTAAAAACGTGTTTAAAAATGAACACTGACACAATTAAACACAACACTGGTGCACGGTGACTGCAAACAGAAGCAGCTGCTTGTATCCTCCTGTGGATACAAACCAGCAAGAACTCATCAGATCTCTGTCACTTACCATTAATGAAGTTTGGCTTTTATTAATAAACAGAGAGCACGGATATCTATGGAAGAAATATAGTATCATCAGAATTCAAGTATTTTTAGACATTGAATTTATGACACTGAATTTTTATCCTCCAAATTTCCCTGCAAAAATATTCACCTGCAAAAATTCACCTGAAAAAAATTCACCTGAAAAAAATTCACCTGCAAAAATTCAACTGCAAAAGTGATGAACTTTAATGACCCAAGCCAGAGCAATCAGCACCAGATCGAGTCGAGTGGCTCTCAGCCAATTAAATTACGCTGTTTGATCACATGACACCGTTAGCCAGCAGCGTGTCTCCTAAAAGAGAGCTGTTTAAAGGTGAGTGATTAAGTTTTTCTCCTAAATAGAGATCATTACAGAACGCCTAGTCCTACTTAAAATCCCATTTATTATTATTATTTTTTTTATCATCTACTCGAACTAAGGAAAACGTTTGACTAACTCAAAGACAATTTCCACGCCTCCCCTGCCTGACTGCAGAGGCAGTTTTGAATTTAGGAGCGCCAAGATGGCAGCGGCAAACCCTGGCGGCTCTCCGGTGAGTATATATATATTTTTTTTTATCTTCAAGTTTGTCTTTTGAAACCTTAATTTTATTTAAATCCGTTGCTCACGTATAAAGTACACAGACGGGGTCTTTGCTCAACTCGTCTGAGGCGTGTCTCACTAAGCGCTACATGCTAGCATCCTGCTAACCGAGCTACCCTTTACATGCTGTGCTTTAGAAAATAGGATACTCGTTAAAAAAATACTCCGCAGATATTGATTGATAGATAGACGAACACTGCAAATATAATGTTGGAAACGAGAACGGCCTTTAGTGAAGGGGTAAAATACACCATGAATAAAGCCATAGAGTGAATGGCTGCCATGGTTGCAGAACAGCCTGATTTAATGACAAGAATGGGGAAGAGTGAGGTGAAGTGAACCACAGCCACAAAACACGGTCAGACAAGGCGGCAAAAGGGCAGTGATCTGTCCGTCAGTATGAAGTTGGTGTGTGCTTTGGTGAACAAAAACTCCAGACTGGTAGCAGGAAGATGGGAGACTCGTGTTTCACTGGAATAGTGGTGAATTAAAACATCCTTTGTTGGGGACATTTCGGTGTAAATGCATCCATACAGGCAAGACAGAGGCAGACCAGACAGTGAAGAAAACAAGGCAAACATTAGAAATATAAAAACGGAAATATAGGATGAGTCGGGGATGAGTTCCTGCCCCAAGTGGAGGAGTTCAAGTATCTCGGGGTCTTGTTCGCGAGTGATGGGAGAAGGGAGCCGGAGATCGACAGACGGATTGGGGCTGCAGCTGCAGTAATGCGGACGCTGCACCGGTCCGTCGTGGTGAAGAGGGAGCTGAGTGTAAAAGCGAAGCTCTCAATTTACCGGTCGATCTACGTCCCTACCCTCACCTATGGCCTTTACATGACTAACGTCCCCTCTTCTCCCTACCTCACATTAGCCCCCATCTTTCTTCCAGGTGGAAAAGACCCGTCACCTTCTGGGAGGGCGGCTCCCGTGGGAACAGCTCCCACCACCAAGTCCCTGAGTGAGTCTCTGTCCCCCAGCGTGAGCTCCAGCACTCTGTCCACGTCCACCTCCGCCTCCTCGCAGATCTCCAGCACCACCTTTGAAAGCGTGAGAAGGAGCTGGCCACCAAGGTGAGAAAAACGTGGGCTTAGTGGGCGTTCTTGTTGCTGCCTTCTTCCTTCTCTGCTCGGTCTTGTTCCTGTTGTGTTGTAGTGCCTGCGCCTTCTGACACACACCTTCAATACTGAATACAACCAGCTGGTGAACAGCATCAGTGACTGCAAGGTGAGAAATAATACAAAGAAATAAAAAAATAGCCTTTCTGTGTCACATCAGGGAGTTCCTATATTGACGTCTACCTCATCCTGCTGTTGTTTCACTTCAGCTTTCTCTCATCTCACCGATCGGACGTGATCCATCCGTGACGAGCTTCAGCAGTGCCACCCTCACCCCTTCCTCTACCTGCCCCTCTCTCTCGGACTCGCGCTGTGGCTCCATGGGCCAGAAGTAAACATATTTTTAGGAACATTGACCTCGATCTGCAAACGGTTATTGACAGGTTATCTATTTGATTCTAACTTGGTGTGATTTGTGTTAAAGGACCCCTGAGAACAGCTCACGTGCCTCCAGTCCCTCCTGCTCAGACTGTGAAAACTTCCCGATGGTTCCCACTCTGGAGACCTCCTACCTTGCGCGGGCTGCAAAGAACGAGTTCCTGAACTTGGTGCCTGATATTGAAGAAATGCGACCAGGGTGAGTAATGCCATATTAACCCAAATACTGTCACTATGACATGTGTCTCACAGACCAAATGTAAGTCGACACTCATGTTCTCTAGTTCAAGCGGAAATGATGTGGATCGATTCAAATTCCTGAGCCTGGATGATTTCAGCTGGAAACAAACCAACTCTGCTTCTTCCTCAGATAATTCAATTCAATTTTATTTATATAGCGCCAAATCACAACAAAAGTCGCCTCAAGGCGCTTCATAGATACAGAGAAAAACCCAACAATCATATGACCCCCTATGAGCAAGCACTTTGGCGACAGTGGGAAGGAAAAACTCCCTTTTAACAGGAAGAAACCTCCAGCAGAACCAGGCTCAGGGAGGGGCGGGACCATCTTCTGCGACCGGTTGGGGTGAGAGAAGGAAGATGGGATAAAGACATGCTGTGGAAGAGAGACAGAGGTTAATAACAGATATGATTCAATGCAGAGAGGTCTATTAATACATAGTGAGTGAGAAAGGTGACTGGAAAGGAAAAACTCAATGCATCATGGGAATCCCCGGCAGCCTACGTCTATTGCAGCATAACTAAGGGAGGATTCAGGGTCACCTGGTCCAGCCCTAACTATATGCTTTAGCAAAAAGGAAAGTTTTAAGCCTAATCTTAAAAGTAGAGATAGTGTCTGTCTCCTGAATCCAAACTGGAAGCTGGTTCCACAGAAGAGGGGCCTGAAAACTGAAGGCTCTCCCTCCCATTCTACTTTTAAATACTCTAGGAACAACAAGTAGGCCTGCAGAGCGAGAGCGAAGTGCTCTAATAGGGTGATATGGTACTACAAGGTCATTAAGATAAGATGGGGCCTGATTATTTAAGACCTTGTATGTGAGGAGCAGGATTTTGAATTCAATTCTGGATTTAACAGGAGAAATCTGCTCTCTCTTTCTAGTCCCTGTCAGGACTCTTGCTGCAGCATTTTGGATTAGCTGAAGGCTTTTCAGTGAGTTTTTTGGACATCCTGATAATAATGAATTACAGTCGTCCAGCCTGGAAGTAATAAATGGTAAATGCCCTGTATTTATATAGCGCTTTACTAGTCCCTAAGGACCCCAAAGCGCTTTACATATCCAGTCATCCACCCATTCACACACACATTCACACAATAAATGCATGAACTAGTTTTTCAGCGTCACTCTGAGACAGGATATTTCTAATTTTAGAGATGTTGCGCAAATGGAAGAACGCAGTCTTACATATTTGTTTAATATGTGCGTTGAAGGACATGTCCTGGTCAAAAATGACTCCAAGGTTCCTCACAGCGTTACTGGAGCCAAGGTAATGCCATCCAGAGTAAGAATCTGGTTAGATACCATATTTCTAAACTTTTCAGGGACGAGTACAATAACCTCAGTTTGATCTGAATTAAGAAGCAGAAAGTTAGCGGCCATCCAGGTCTTTAAGTCTTTAAGACATTCCTGCAGTGTAACTCATTGGTGTGTGTTATCTGGCTTCATGGACAGATAGAGCTGGGTGTCATCTGCATAGCAGTGAAAATTTATGCTATGTCTTCTAATGATGCTGCCTAGGGGAAACATGTATAATGTAAACAGAATTGGTCCTAGCACTGAACCCTGTGGAACTCCATAATTAACCTCAGTGTGTGAAGAGGACTCTCCATTTACATGCACAAATTGGAGTCTATTAGATAGATATGTCACAAACCAAACTGTACACTGGTAAACTGTTACAATAAAAAAGACCGTAATTTTCTTTACTCTTCTTTATTTATGTAACTTTTGTTTTCACTGGCAATTTAGTATTAGGTTAGGACAAAAAACAAATTAGGAAGGTTAAAGACAGAACATTACTAGATTGTGGTTTTAATTAAAATGTAGCCTTTGACAATGCTGAACACATGAGAAGCTACTTTAAGGCATATCACCCAATTTGTAATATTGCTAAACATTTCTTAAGGCAGACGAGTCATGCTGGCTGGGTCAGTGTCATTTTTGTTGTAATTGATGTCTGGTTTGTTCTGTTCCCTAGTGATGGGTAGGGATGGGTACCAGTATCCGGTGTTCTGACATAATCCTTGAAATAGTAATAACACAGTATCCTCAGCAAAGATGAATTAAACAAGTTTTATTTTAATGGAAGTTTACTTCAAGTCTTCAGATTTTTACTGTCTTTTATTTGATTACTTTAAAGTATATGATTACATTAGAGTAATTAAATAAAGACAGTTTTGATGGAGCTCCTGAGCCAGCCCAAGCTCTCTATGAAGACGAGGAAAAACTCCCCTGGGGGGCCAGACTGACGGGAAGAAACCTCGGGAAAGCCCATTCAAAGAGAGATCCCCTTTCCTGGGATGGCTGGGGGGGGTTACAGGAATTCCAAAACACTGAAATTTAAAGTGGGCCATTAAAAAAATTATTTCCTGAAAAAAAGAAAGGTAATTCATACATCACACATAAATGATAACGTCTGAATTGTGTGTGTTTGTGTGTGTGTGTGTGATAGGCTTATCTCAGCCAAGTGTGATGCTGTAGCTCCTCCAGCGTCGGCCGCGTCTCCGGGACTTTGGTTAAACACGCGTCCAAGAAATCCCGGCAGTCTGGAAAGAAAGGAAAGAGAAAAAACATGAAGATGATAGTTCCAGTGGTCCAAGCCATCAGTCAGTCTTGAAGTGTGACGTTTTCTTACTTTTGGACAGATGTCTTTTGAATTTCAGGCGCTTTTTGAGGAAGCTCGTGGTGTTAAAGTCCCCGGCATGAAGCGCTTCGTACAGAACCACTCCCATTTGCCATACCGTGGTGGGTCCACACCTGTAGCAACTGCGCCCGTACCACTCGGGAGGGGAGTAAATTTCTGTACCTAATAAACAGACACAATTGCAATTTCTTCTAAAACAAAAGGCGAAAATTGTGACATCTGTGAAGAGCAAGAGCAGAATATGTTACCATAGAAGACGCGGTACTGCGACTGCTCCTTAACAAAGCAGCTCAGTCCAAAGTCGATGATACGAACACGCGGTACATCTGAGCCGGTCTCAATTAGAATGTTCTCACTCTTGATGTCCCGGTGAAAGATGTGTTTATCCTCCAGGTGCTTCGCAGCATCAACCAGCTGCTTCAGAATGACCTGGAAATAGAGCAGGGCGATATGACCAAAAATATTTATCACGATATACATTTGAAAAGTTGTGATAACGATATAACTGACACTAGACAAAATACTTTACAACGCCACAACTTTATTAGTGCAAAAAACCCCATAAATGTATTTTCACTTAAACAAGCAGCTGTTTTTTTATGTGCATTAAAGTTATATAAAAATGTAACAGTGCAAATGCAAATTCCTCGCTGACAGTTTAACCAAAAGGCATTTCCAGTGGAAATTGGCCGACATATCCTCAGCATAACCATGTAAAATATCCACAAAGCTTAAAAAGAGGTTATACACACACAATACGGTAATATCACGTTGAGGTGCAGTACGTATCACTCCGCGAGGCGCCTGCCTACGATAGCCGTAATGCTCCGACAATCCATCGAGCGGTGCGGCTTTGTAGCTTAGCAAAGTCGCCGTGTACATAAAATCGTTTTGAGGTCAGTAAACACAACCAGAATTCATACATAAGGCACACGGGATTATAAGGGGCACTGTCGAGTTTCAGAAAAATCAAAGGATTGATTTTAAGTGTGCCGTATTTTCCAAACAACACGGTAATAACGGGGCCCGCTAGCATGCGCTACCAAACATCGTGCTTTGTTGTGTATCTGACGGACGGAAGCTAAACCAGTTCCACACCACTAAAGTTGCAGCATTTTTACAAACCAGTTCTGGTTCATCCGTTTCATTCAACGATCCACTTTTGCTCTTCTCTTTCTGCGTCACCGCCATCTGCGTATGTAAACATAGGCACTGCGCATGCGCGTTTTACCTATTCTAGCGCGATATTTCATTTTCCTATCGTTGCCCAAAATTACACCGGTATTACCGTGAATGGTATGATATAGCCCAGCCCTACCTGGAAACGATGAAAAGACAATAATCAATCAATGGGTTAATGTTTCTCTAATACTCTGTGCTTTGATTGAATGATGTACAGTCTAAGACTCTTCTAAGGCAAGTCAACTTGCCTTGGCCTTGTCCTCTGGCAAAAATCCTCCATTTTCTTCTATGTATTTATCCAGGTCCACAGCGGGGACAGGTCTCTCCATCACCAGGATCAGCTCTCTGCCAAAGTCAAACCACTCCAACAGAGACACTGGGGCTGATGTTTCCACTGATCCATCTGCTTCAGCTGCAAGCTTCAGCATGATGGCAACTTCCACTGACACATTCTTCCCGTTATCATCCTGAAATATTTCAACAAAGTGGATGATGAGGCACAGACGTTCCACAGGTGAACGCTGCATGCAATCCACTAATGTAAAAACAATTCAAGTCTTGCACATTTACCTTCACTTTGCAGTACACTTTCCCCTTTGGGATGTGTTTGATGGCCACCTAAAAGACACAGGGCATTGATGAGCATTTCCTCAGTATGACATCATTAAAGGTGTAAAACAGCATACATCTCAGCTTACGATATTATCCCTTATCTGCATTACTGCCTGTCTTACTACCACCATCTGAACACTTACTGGTAAATGATCCTTTATGCGGTAGCCAGCAAACACTGCTCCACAGCCTCCTTCTCCAAGCCGGTGCTCCTCCACGTATCTTGCTTGGAAGTCACCTAAACAGACAAACACAAATTGGGTTTTACTACAGCTGTCACACAAATTACTCTCTGCTGTACCCTAAATGTTCATTTTGCTCTTCACCTGAATATAAAGCTAAGCTGCTTGCTACTTACGTTTCTGTTCAGCCACTGACTTTTTGGCAACGGTTTTGGTTTTGTCCTGGTCCACGTTCTTTTTCTTAGGTGGGTCCCTGGTGTCTCCCGCAGCTTTCCTTTTGCCAGCCTTTTTGTTTTTACTGCAGCTCTCTGAAATCTCTATGCTGCAGTCTGCAGATGTGGAAAACACCAAAAGCACATCAGCTTATTAGATAATAGACACAAATATCTCCCAAACACTAATATCTTCAAACTAGCAACCAGATGTACACTTAATCTACCCCTCACTCAACTAATTAGCCTACCTTTACCAGTGTCCAACCAGGAAGATGCCTGCCCCTTGTCACCGCTCACATGCTCAAGAAGTTTACGCTTTTTTGCTGTATTGGTTGTCCCCGCTTCATCTTGTTGGACCTTTCGCTTGACTCCCCCGACCACATGAGCATCTGAGCTGGTGGAAGGACCAGCCTGCTCAGTGACCCTCCTTCTTTTTATGGGGGTCGTTTTTTCAGGACTGGCCTTTCTTTTAGCCATCCTGCTCTTACAATCTATAAACAACAACAACACATTAGTGAAAAAGAGTGCTCGACATCAGGACTAGAAGGATTTTGATGTCATTGAATTTTAAATTAGTATTGCTTACAATATAATAACAAGTTTATCCTTTTGATAAAAAACACACCAACACGAGTGGACCATACTAGGTCTACTAAGTCTAGATACTGATGACACTTGTTGCTCTGTTTTCACTGCTCAGTCCAAGAATAAACTTGTCACATTATTTTACCAAAAGACAAAGTGCCCCAGTAACCTTTCTTTGATTAGACATGTTGCACTCAGGTTAGTTTCAATCAAAACCAGGATTTAAATCCTCTAAAAATGAATCATTTTATACACAGAGCCTCAACATTGTTAGAAATGTACATTCTGTTATTTAGGGGATTTTATTTTTTACTTACTTTGATCTCCTGGATCTTTCTTATCTGCCTCAGTCGTAACTTTTCTTGTTTCCTTTTTCATCTTAATTTTTAAAATAGAAAATGTCACCTTAATGAGTGAATAGTCCTTCAAATGTCTGGATGCTTGACTTTTCTAACTAAGCTGTATAAGTCAGTTCTGTAAGTGAGCTTTAAAAGTAAACTCCGGAGTCTATGGCAACACAACATTAGAACCTTGCCTTTTAGTGACATCACTAAAAGGCAAGTAGTTTAAAGAAAAACACTCTGGCATTTCATATAATTCAGTAATTTCACATTAAACTTTCTTTCATTATCCTTTCATTATTTGTTTAAAGACTTGATGTGTGGATGCTACTATGAAGACTTCTAGTTGAGCAAACACTAATAAACACTGACTAGTTTATCTGAGATAAAATATAACACTTTTTTATTAAGTCAGTGTTAACTCTGTTTTTTTCTGTTAGGATCATTCAATAGTATCAGAAGAGAAAAGAAAAGTATGTTTTGTTTGGTTTTTTTCTTCAAGATCTGTTCACATGTACTTAGCAAGAGTGAGTACACAGCGTTAAAAAATGGTACTTAGTGTAGTGAGGAAGGCGAAAAGCAAAGAGAGCATATGAAGGTAATATTGAAGAAGGCGCAGTTTTGAAGTGGTGAAAGGCAAAGGCATGAGTGCAAGCGTAATAAAAGGTAATAGGAGAGATGTCGAGCAGGCGGAGGACTTGGCTGGAGCAGGAAAAGGCAAAAGGGGAAACGCGAGTGCACGTCTGAAACTTCTTCACTGTCAGTGAATCCTAATTCTTAAGACTAACTAAGAAGAATAAATCTATGTATGAATGTCGTTTTGAGCACATCTCCTCTTTCTACTGATCAATTCTTCCACCTAGTGGATAGATGATAGTATTGCAGCTTGTCTCGTCACCTGTTGTGTGTTTTGTGTGCTCCAGAACCTGCGTCCTGTTGGAGTACTGTACGTAAAACACACAAACACTGGAGTGAACACAGCTGCTGAACATCTCTATATTCATAACTTCTTCCTGTTATCTCATATCTGTCTCCCTTCATCTGTGTAGGAACGGTGTACAGATGTATGAGTATGTCACTCCTGCTCCTCCACCTAACACCTCCACTCCAAACTAAGTTTGCTCTGTTGCTTTGGTTCACTGATCTGCAAGTATCTGTCATTTGTTTGCAGATGTCTGCAGGAATTATTGTAATGATCCATTAATGGTGCCTGATTTCATTCAGTTTTACAGCTTGTCTCGTGTTTTTGAACTGCTTCCCTCACAGTTGTACACAGTGCTAACATGTGCTCTTACTCTGTGTTTTATTCCTGAAGAAAAGAAAGTGCCCAGCCCAGCAGGATGAAGATGGGCCATACGTCAAGAAGCCTCCAAATGCCTTCATGCTCTATCTCAAAGAGCAGAGGCCAAAGGTCATTGCTGAACTCAACATCCCTGGAAATGCAGCCGTAAATGCAGTGGTGGGACAGAGAGTAAGTGTGTAACTCTGCATACATTTATGCATCTGTTAATGTTGTCTGCTCATGTTTTTGCATGTGTCCCAGCTGTCCTGTAGTTATGTGTAGTAGCAGTGCTCACAGTGTGTTCTTATGATCTTCTGTCCACAGTGGAAGTCGCTTTCAAACGACCAGAAAGCCAGATATTTCAAGCAGGCTGAAACAGAAAGACAGAATCATGCCAAAGAGCATCCAGCCTGGTCGACCAAAGAAAACTATGTATGTCCAACAATAATTTCATTATAGACGATTGGACTGATTTCAATTGAATTAAACTGTTACTCCTGTTATTTCAACATCTGTCTTTGTGTAAATAAATGAAAAAACAAACAAAAGATGCTTCTGTCATAAGTTACAGCAGGATGAAACAACCTTCATGTAGTTCTTGTTTTTAACACTGCAAACCTTCTTTAGTTCTTTTGTTTCCTTTCATATTCAGCACACATCTGTCAGTGTCCACTAACTGTCAGGGAAAAGCCAGATAAAAACACTGTGGGGTCTTTTGGGACACGTGCTCGTTGGGTTTACTCATAGATATCAGAAATGATCTGTTCTGTATTCAAAGGATACACGAAGGACGTTTGTATTAAATGCAATATAGCGACTGATCATATGCTGGTTTCTTTGGGGGCTTTTCACCACCATGTTACACAAATCCAGTTTCTAACTGAAAAGAAATCCTTCACCATTTTCTAATCAAATTCCCTGGTTTCCCATGTCAGAGATGTCATGGCTGAAAGGATCATCGCATATTGAGCTCAAAGCTAAACTCTTGTGTAGGGCCTCTTTCCATGTTGTACCATTCATTTTAAAAAGTCCTGGTAACAAGAGACAGAGGTGACTTGATGTATTACAGTTACTTCCCAATTTACAGAAATGATGTGACTTCTGACATTTTCCTAGCAGGAAATGTGCTACTGTGGGACACTGAAAGAATAAACAGCAAGGCACGTTTTGTTTTAATAACTTTTCTTTACTTCATTTGTATGAACTAGGTTTACCTTACAAAATCTTATACTGTATATAATGTTTTATGTTTAATTCATGTCAATGTCAGCTCGTGTTTACTCGGGTGAGCAGTACCGGCCCACAAAGAGAATGCTCTTGGTGGGTTTATGTCGGATGAAGAAGATGAAGGATGGTCGGCAACAAACTCAGCGGGAATCGTTATAGAGCGGACTTCCATGTCAACCCCAGTGGCAGCAGCAGCCTCAGTTCCTTCTTCATTTACATCCACCAAAGCCTTGTGGACAACTTTGGACACTATCAGGTCATTTGCTGGAGACATTCCTAGTAGATGAAGAGCCCAGAAATCAGTTGTGTTTTTTTCTTTACCAGATGATGTTTTGCAGTTTTTGTGCTCTCAATATAACTGTATAATTGATTCAGTGTGTCTCATTGGTGCAATATTTCTCACCAGAGAAGTCTCTCTTGTAGATGTCAAAAGCGTTCTCCATTCCCATGTTGGTCAGGATTTTCTCCAAGTCATACTTCTCCTCCATCTTAAATCGAGGGAGCTTGACATCAACCTCGTTGGGGCTCATCATGTCTGGGCGAGTCCAGTCCACAAAGTTCTGATAGGTCAGCTCCTTCTCCAGCTGTGTGGATACAGTGTCACTAGCTTGTCTGATTGAAACTGGACATTAAAGTACTGGTAAGTGCATCTTACCTTTTCCAAGCCTGTGGTATCATCTTCTATGTCATTAGGCAGGAATATGAGCATGCTGAGGTCATTTCCTTTATACGGCATCTCAAGAATCTGTCCAGAAACATTGTTTTTATTTATTACTCCATCAAAGATGATCTGACTTCCTAATCTAGAAATTTAGGCTGATATTTGTAAAAGACAAGTTTTAGATCATGCTGGTGAAATCCTGTAATAAGCTGAAAGTGATGGATGTTACCTTGCAGTTGGCCTCAGGAATGGTCGCAAAAGGAAATTTACTTTTCTGCTGCATCATCTTCACCGGCTTAGTGTCGTTCTGAAAAATAGGGGAGACAAGAGAAATGTTTTTTGTGTTTAGTCTCAAAATGATCTCAAAAAGTTCTGTCATGGTTTTATTCCAGCCATTGAGTGGATTTGGATGTAGAGCACACGTCACAACACAATTTGTTCTTGTTAGCCGAAGTTTGTGATGTGCTGTTGTTTGAGATTTATTTGAGAACTTATTGGATATTACATGAATAATAAACTGCATTGCATAACTGCATAAAGTTGGAAAGTGATCGTCCTAAAAGCACGATTTTATCCCCTCAGAGCTCCAGGCTTTATGTTCTCATTCAGCAAAGTCCACAGCTCGTTTGTAGTATGACAGATCAAAGTATAACTGCACCATCCTATGCTGCCTTTCTGCACTGTTACCTTGTTCAGTCGAAACTGCGCATCAGCAGTCTTCTCCTCCTTAAACTGCGTGTTCCAGCTGCCCTTGAAGTAAATGGCATTCACGAGAACCAGCTTCGTCAGGCTACCCACTGTATCCTGGCTTAGCAAGTCCTTGATTTTATCTGGTAAAAAGAATTTATGAAAACTATTAACTATTACCAAAGATGCACTAGTTACTGTACAACATCTTCAGCTATAAAATCAGAAAACAGGGCAACAGCAAGATGGTTTTTATTTTTAAAAAAGGGGGAAAAAGCTTTATGATCAGTATAACAGGGAACAAAAAACAAAAATTCAAGTGTAGGCTTGAACAAAATTCAAGCCTACGCTTGAAGCCACTGAGGCACAGCTGGCTGCCGGCAGAGCCGGCGGGCACGCCGGTGCAGCCCCCTCTAGCTTCTGCTCGGTGGCTACTGGGTGACGCCTCGTCTGGGGATCCTCAGCCTTCCCATGAGGGTGGCACGGATGCCCCTCCGGTGGTCCTCCTTGGGCTCTCGCACTCTGGGGCCTCTGGATGTCTGGGGCCTGGATCTCCTCCATGCCTGCTTCATGGCCTGGGGGACGGGGCTATGGCTCGCTACATCCTCTTGCAGACCATTACATGTGGAAACCATTTGAATACAAGCGCGCTGATCCACACAGGTGTGCACACGGGTGTTCACTGCTCGTAGACTTAAATTACACCTTTCTTGGCTGCTACTTCAAAGCACATTGTGTGCTGTCTGTCCTGCGTGCTGCACAACAACATTGAATATTTAGTATTTACTGCTGTTTACACTTAGCTAGATTAATGCGATGGTGTTGTGTTTAGAAAGTTGCTTTGGTTTTTTTGCTTGTTTTCTATTCTTTCTCTCTCAACAGGTGATCCAGGAGATTTTATTTATTTATTTATTTTCCCCCTTTCTCACTGTCCCTCTCCCCTTCTGTTTTTCTTTTCCTTCCTCTTTCTTTCTCCCTTTCCTGTCCCTCACTCATGTCTGTCCCGTCTGTAACAACTGAAAATGAAATAAAATAAATAATAAAACAAAGGTCGATCAAATGGACCAATACGGCAATGCCGCGATGATCCATTTGGCAAAATAAATCCATTGGGTATCCTTGTTGGTCTTCAGACAAATATTCTGACGGCTAAAGAACCAAATGGGACAGGCAAAAAAAAAAAGAAAGAAGCCACTGAGGTGGTTGTTAGCGGGGGTGACGCGATGCTTCTGGTATGCATGAATTAATTAAACAGTCCAATAACTCCAGCAGTACTTATCTTGTCCTTTTTGGTCTTTGTTCCAAACATTTTAAGATAAAAGCGCAGCGGTCACAAACGTTTTGCCTTCTTATGATTAACAACACACCTGACGCTGATTACGTGCGTCCACCTTAAATACCTTACATAAACCTACCATACAGGAACTTAAAAAGGTGGAATCCTCAGTGGTGCTTGGTGCCACACCCTCAGGGACTTTAATGTTATATAAAAACACTGACAGCTCAATATCTGCCTCAGTCACTCTCCCTGATCCAGCTGAGTCACCAATAGGAAAAATCTGCTTTTCACAGGAACTTGGTAACAGCAATAAGAGAATACGTAGTTTATTCCAAGAAGATATCGTCTCTCTCCCATATATAACATCTTATTGGAACCGATATGTTCCAGATATCAAGTGGAAGACAGTCTGGATGGTCCCCCATAAATATTTGATTGTAAATAAGGTGAAAGAAGTCTCATTTAAAATTCTACATAAATGTTATCCAGCCAGTCACTACATGGTCAAATGTAAAAGGGACATAAATACTAATTGTACTTTCTGTGGGGATCATCCAGAAACTGTGACGCATCTTTTTTGGTACTGTTCTTTTACACAGAGATTCTGGAAGGAATTTAGCAGGTTTGTTATTGTCCATATTTTAAGGGAGTTTTCTTTACGATGGGAAAATGTTTTATTCTGTTTGTTTAAGTTCCCCAAGAAGTATGATAAAAAATTTTTATGATGAATTTGTTCATACTTTTAGCTACATTTTTTATCCATAAATGTAAGTTTACTAACAAAACACCATATTTCTGTCATTATTTTAAGGATGTGGAAATGTACATACAATCAATATCAGACTCCACCAACACAAAGGCTCTCAAAACAATACATGTATGTGTATTCTTATAATTGTTACCTTTTTCTTTTACTCTTGGCTTTCTGTGTTCATGTTCTGTTGTTTTGTATACTTCATCTGTTCGTATGTTGTATACTCATTGTTTATTAAATAAAGTTTAAAAAAAAGAAACTTAAAAAGGTTACCTCTAGCGGCAACATAAGGTATCAACCCAAAAATGGCTCCTACAAAAATAATGGGATTAAGATTGTCTCATTTCCAGCAGGTGGCACCACAGTCCTATAACCCTCATAGAAAGTCCTTGCATCCTATTATTATAGATGGTAGATTTATAAATGGCCTGTATTTGTATCGCGCTTTTATAAAAACAATGAATGAATTTCCTGCTGCACTTAAGATAATATAAAGATATAGAATCAATAGCAGCCAATCCTAAATGGGCCTGAAAAATAAAAATATGTTAAAGACACAAGTGATCAAAGTAGAAGTACCCATCACATAATATAATAAGAATAGAAGAATTGGCCTGCTATTTACAGCAACATACTGCTGTGATGGTTTTATTAATAGCATGAAACCAAACAGTAAAACCCAGAGATAGTGCTGCTTAATACTGAATAGAAATTAGACTGGAAGAACTGGAAACAGAAAATAATGTGGACGGTGGACAATCCGGTAATAATGTCTCAACTGAACACAACACAACTGATCCCCAAGGATTTACAGTGGAGATCATTTAAAGTTACATTATGCTTACCTTGTGTCTGCTTCTCCACCCAGCTGTTGATGTGGACCCTGGCCTCCTCTGCATTTCCTTTGAAGTCCACAGACTCGAGCTCAGCGTTGTAATGCTTTTTGGTGCCTTTTAAAAATTCCTGGAATTGTGAAAATAAGTCACTCGAAACAGATTCAACAAACTACGGAGACTTCAATCAAGTTCAGTCACTGTGTTAAAACATTTTCAGTCCTTTGGATGCAGTTGAAGCTTGAACTAACCAGTCAGCCTTTGTCTAATAAAAGATTAAAGCAAATAGCTTGTTGGATGCCAATTTAAGTAGCCAGCATAGAAAAATACACAGATTGTGGGTAAGCTGGTTTGTAACGTTTCGGTTCAGATGGCAGCAGTTTTTGCTGACAAATGTAAGTTTTAGTATTTCTAAGTATTAATAAATTACTGTTTTACTTCTTTATATATTTCTTTATACTATTTGCAAATATTTTAAAAGTTTAATCTGCTGTGATGACTGGAACACAAAGGAGAGAAATGGTGCCTTGTCTCTTGTTATGAACTGTAAATAGCTAAGTGCTTAGAGCAGCTGGTCCTAGCACACTTCAAATCCTGTCTCCCCCCCACCCTGGACCCCCACCAATTTGCATACCGCCAGAACAGGAGCACAGAGGATGCAGTCTCCATCGCACTGCACTCTGTCCTCTCACACCTGGACAACAACAACACCTACGCCAGAATGCTGTTTATAGACTTCAGTTCAGCATTCAATACAATCCACCCCTCACAACTCATCAGGAAACTGACAGACCTGGCATCAGTTCCCTCATCTGCAAATGGTTACTGGACTTCCTGACCAACCGCCCCCAACATGTCCGGCTGGATAACCGCTGCTCATCTACCATCACAATGAACACCGGTGTACCACAAGGCTGTGTGATGAGCCCTTTCCTCTACTCCCTCTTCACCCACGACTGCAGACCTGCTGATGGTTCCAACACCATCATTAAGTTTGCAGATGACACCACGGTGATTGGCCTCATCAGTGACAACGATGAGGCCGCCTACAGGGAGGAGGTGGATCGTCTGGCTGAGTGGTGCGACACAAACAACCTGCTGCTTAACACCGAGAAGACCAAGGAGCTCATCGTGGACTACAGGAGGAATGCTGACCCACATCCACCCATCCACATTAAGGGGACGGCTGTGGAGCGTGTGAGCAGCTTCAAGTTCCTGGGAGTCCACATCTCCGAGGATCTCACCTGGACGACCAACTGCTCCAAGCTGGTCAAGAAGGCTCACCAGCGCCTCTTCTTCTTGAGGACTCTGAGGAAGAACCACCTGTCCTCAGACATCCTGGTGAACTTCTATCGCTGCACCATCGAGAGCATCCTGACCAACTGTATAACAGTCTGGTACGGGAACTGCTCTGCCTCGGACCGGAAGGCGTTGCAGAGGGTCGTGAAAACTGCCCAGCGCATCGCCGGAGCACCACTTCCTGCCATAAAGGACATCTACAGGAAGCGGTGTCTGAAAAGGGCTGGGAAAATCATCAAAGACCCCAGTCACCCATCACATGGACTCTTCACCCTCCTGCCCTCTGGGAGGCGCCACAGGAGCCTCCGGACTAAGACCACCAGGTACCGGAACAGCTACTTCCCCACAGCTGTCAGACTCCTGAACTCTGCCTCCTGACATCTGACCCACGTTAAACTCATGCACTGAACATACACACACCCACAATGGACAACTGTACCCTCAAACACAATAATAACATGGACTGAACCACCACTCACAACCACTAGCACTTTATATAGCCTCTGTAGAAACTATCTACACCCTCACTTATCTTAACTGCACTACTGTATAGCTCTGTGTAAATAATCATTCTGTACATTCAATAATCTTTAATCCTACAACTGTTTACAACTTGCATAGTTGCCGGGGATTCCCATGATGCATTGAGTTTTTCCTTTCCAGTCTCCTTTCTCACTCAGTATGAGTTAATAGACGTCTCTGCATTGAATCATATCTGTTATTAACCTCTGTCTCTCTTCCACAGCAGGTCTTTTATCCTGTCTTCCTTCTCTCACCCCAACCGGTCACAGAAGATGGCCCCGCCCCTCCCTGAGCCTGGTTCTGCTGGAGGTTTCTTCCTGTTAAAAGGGAGTTTTTACTTCCCACTGTCGCCAAAGTGCTTGCTCATAAGGGGTCATATGATTGTTGGGTTTTTCTCTGTATCTATGAAGCGCCTTGAGGTGACTTTTGTTGTGATTTGGCGCTATATAAATAAATTGAATTGAATTGAATTGAATTATCTGAGGAAGAAGCAGAGTTGGTTTGTTTCCAGCTGAAATCATCCAGGCTCAGGAATTTGAATCGATCCACATCACTTCTGCTTGAACTAGAGAACATGAGTGTCGACTTACATTTGGTCTGTGAGACACATGTCATAGTGACAGTATTTGGGTTAATATGGCATTACTCACCCTGGTCGCATTTCTTCAATATCAGGCACCAAGTTCAGGAACTCGTTCTTTTGCAGCCCGCGCAAGGTAGGAGGTCTCCAGAGTGGGAACCATCGGGAAGTTTTCACAGTCTGAGCAGGAGGGACTGGAGGCACGTGAGCTGTTCTCAGGGGTCCTTTAACACAAATCACACCAAGTTAGAATCAAATAGATAACCTGTCAATAACCGTTTGCAGATCGAGGTCAATGTTCCTAAAAATATGTTTACTTCTGGCCCATGGAGCCACAGCGGGAGTCCGACAGAGAGGAGCAGGTAGAGGAAGGGGTGAGGGTGGCACTGCTGAAGCTCGTCACGGATGGATCACGTCCGATCGGTGAGATGAGAGAAAGCTGAAGTGAAACAACAGCAGGATGAGGTAGACGTCAATATAGGAACTCCCTGATGTGACACAGAAAGGCTATTTTTTTATTTCTTTGTATTATTTCTCACCTTGCAGTCACTGATGCTGTTCACCAGCTGCTTGTATTCAGTATTGAAGGTGTGTGTCAGAAGGCGCAGGCACTACAACACAACAGGAACAAGACCGATCAGCTCCGAGCAGAGAAGGAAGAAGGCAGCAACAAGAACGCCCACTAAGCCCACGTTTTTCTCACCTTGGTGGCCAGCTCCTTCTCACGCTTTCAAAGGTGGTGCTGGAGATCTGCGAGGAGACGGAGGTGGACGTGGACAGAGTGCCGGAGCTCACGCTGGGGGACAGAGACTCACTCAGGGACTTGGTGGTGGGAGCTGTTCCCACGGGAGCCGCCTCTCCCAGAAGGTGACGGGTCTTTTCCACCTGGACGAAAGATGGGGGCGAATGTGAGGTGGGGAGAAGAGGGGAGGTTAGTCATGTAAAGTCTGTACTCTAAGAAAAAACTTTTTAGAATAGCACTTTGGTCTTTGAGCTGAAAAGTCATTTTTCCCTCAATGATATTAAACAGATTTATTTCTTTATGAATCTTTTAAGGCCCCACCTCCTGCAGCTGCTCCATCTTCTCCAGCTCCCACTGGTGCTCTAGGATGAGGCTATCTCCTCTGGGCCTCCAGCCGGCCAGGTTCTCCTCTCCACGCACATAAGCCACTGATGTGTCCAGGACCTTCCTCCTCCTCCTCTGCATCCCTGACTGGACTGAAAAAGAGTGAAAAAGCAGCTAACGTCCAAAAATAAGAAAACTTTGAAAGAACTCCAAAAAACCTGGAGAACTTTTGCTCAAAAAACAGTTTTGTTTTTTTTAAATTACAAGGCAATCTGACAAAATGTCATCAAATGAGACTCAAGACTTCTGCAGGTCTCTGCCATGACTCAATTTTTTTTTCTTAACGGCAGAAACAATTGTTCCTTTTTTACTTTGTTTCTATTTTCTCTTTTGTTTTTATCTGTTGAACAACAAACAACATTCATGCTGATTCACATAATATCCTGTCTCTAATCTCTGGGATTTCCTCGTAGCTCTTTGATGCAAAGAACATCCATCAAATGCTCCAGCTTGTGCTCAACATCATCGTGAACGGTGAAGGTACTCTGACGAGAAAATACTCAGTCGACCTTTTGGTTGATTTGTTAAAGAACCCCAAAATAGCTGATTACCTAACAAGGTATGCAGATAATTCACAGCTCTTTTCCTGAATAGCTGCTTTAAAACTCTGCTGAAAGCCTTTGTCCATTTCCAGGTATCCCCACTTCTCGGCATGTGTGTCTCAAGTGTTAGGACTGCTGCATTGGAAAGACCCAGACCCTGCAGCCAAGGTGAGAGACGACAAATATGATAACCCACACCAGCTGTGCTTAACTCTGTAAGTTCCCAGTATTCCCTGAAACCATCACGTGTGACACAGTTTACATCAGACGTGATGCAGCTGACGTCAACACTGACCTTCTTGTGGTAACAGAGACTTAAAAAAATAATAATAAAGCAACAAAGTGGGTCGCTCTTTGACAGTAAATTCCAGTGCGGTCCGCTCCAATCTCCTCAGGCCGACTCTCTTCTAGGCTCTCCTGACTGTTCCCTTTACATGTTGATGATGTGTCTTGTAAATCTGGATCCCTTTCCAGCAGGACGCTCCTCTTTTTCAGACAGTACCTCAGCTGCTCTCTCTCCTGACAGTCAGCTGTCCACCTCTGCATGGCCAGTCGAGCCAGCGCCGGCATTTGAGGCAGAGCTCGGAGCAGAGCGGGCAGCCAGGCTGAGCACGGAGCAGAGGTTGAAGGTCGCAAACTGACATCCACGTCTTCCAGAGAGCCCAGACCTCCTGCTGCAAACAGACTGCACCAACCGTTGTCTCCCACCAAGCTGTTGTAGGACAGATCCAGTGCACGGAGTGAGGAGAGACAGCCCCGTCTGCACACGGCAGCTGCACAGAGGAAGAGGACCCATTGATAACTGATCACTTTATGCCTGTTCACTTTACTGTTTTGTTCACAATGTTTCTGATGGAGACAAAAATAACACCGAATACTTTCATTGTTTTGTTTTATACGACAGCTACAGATGCTGGCAGCATGAAATAAATGAAAGAAATATCAATTTCCTTCAGGCTTTACTTGTCTTAATATACATTTATGCAGCCTAATGATCCACTACAGACCAAAAAAGAAAAAGTATAATGTCATTGTGTGTTAGTTACCCAGATGTTGCATGTCATCAGTGGTGAGCTCGCAGCTGCAAAGACGGAGCTCGCTGACGACTGATGGCTGCAGAGCATCCAGCAGGAGCGCCAAGTGACCGCCAACCACTTTACACCAGGAAATATCCACCGTGCGCAGATAGGACACCGCCAGGGCTGATGCATAAACACAAAGTTTTCACCATTTCAGGCTAGAGGGTGGAAGAGGTATTCAGGGAGAATGACTTGAAGGAAAACTTCTATAAATAAACAAGTGTGTGTGTGTGTGTTACCCAGAGCAGTGAAGGACTCGTTGCTCATGTAGCAGCTGTTGAATGGCAGCCTCCTCATTTGTGTCGCAGGGAGGGCGGAGACCAGCAGGTGGACCACACCTCCCACTTCCTTATTGGATGACACATCAAGCTCGGTCAGTGCAGTGAGAGAGGGCAGCACCTGGACTGAAAAACAACGAGTCACATGACTGCTGCAGCGAGCATGCGATTAGTGTCCGGCGTGTGAGATTGGTAGCAACTGACTCAGAGCCTCTAGATCATCTCGCGTGAGGCAACACAGGTGGAGGTTGAGTCTCTCCAGGTGTGTGACGTGAGCCAGGTGAAAGGTGAGGCGGCTCAGTCCACCAGCTAGAAGCAGCTTTACAGTATATTAATCAGAACAGTGCTGCTCTCTAATGTATCTTGGTAAAGCGCAGAAAAATCTAATGTTTTATATGATACAGTGTGATTTCAGTAACATATCATAATGGAGGCTTCAGCAAGTACTTACGAAGGAAATCTTTCCTCTGCTCTTCAGTTAGTTCATCAAATACCTCCCAAAACATCTGTATGGTGGGGTGGCGGTCATGATATCTCCAACCATAACTTGTGTTCTGAAAACAGTGAAAATGACTGTTATAATCATAGAGTTTGTAAGGTCAGGCATACACTATGTTGCCAAAAGTATTCCCTAACACATCCAAATCATTCAATTAATGTGTTCCAATCACTTCCATGGACACAGGTGTATTAAATCAAGCACCTAGGCATGCAGACTACTTCTACAAACATGTGTGAAAGGACGAGTCGCTCTCAGGAACTGAATGAATTCCAGCATGGTAATGTGATAGGATGCACCAGTGCAACAAGTCCAGTCATGAAATTTCCTCGCTATTAAATATTCCATAGTCAGCTGTTAGTGATATTATAACAAAGTGGAAGTAATTGGAAATGACAGCGAGTCAGCTGATGCTAAGGCTCATAGTGCACTTAAGTCACCAATATCTGCAGTCTGCTGTTGTTACAGATGTCCAAACTTCATTGGTTTCCATGGCTGAGCAGCTGCATCCCAGCCTTACACTGACAAACACAATGCAAAGCGTCAGATGGAGTGATTTAAGCATCTCAACACTGGACTCTAAAGCAGTGGAGATGTGTTTACTGGAGTGACGAATCACACTTCTCTGACTGGCAATCCGATGGATGTGTCAGGGTTTGGTGGTTGCCAGAAGTACTTGTCTGACTGCACTGTGCCAAGTGTAAAGTGTGGGCATGTGTGCACATGGCTGGGCACCAGTGCACAATACAAGGTCCATAAAGACATGGATGAGTGAGTTTGGTGTAGAAGAACTGGACTAGCCTGCACAGAGTCCTGACCTCAACCTGATAGAACATCTTTGGGATGAATTAGAGCAGCAACTGTGAGCCAGGCCTTCTCCTCCAACGTCAGTGTCTGACACCATAAATGCACCTCTGGAAGAATAGTCAAAAAATTCCCATAAACACACCTAAACCTTGTGGAAAGCTTTCCCAGAAGAGTGGAAGCAGTTATAGCTGCGAAGGGTGGGCTGACTATTATATTATACTATCATACAAAGTCTGGATTAAGACTGAGATGTGACTCAAGGTCATATTTGTGTTAAAGCAGCCGACTGAATGCTTTTGACAGTATGCAGTACACAGTTATTGTGCTACAGGACAGCTGTGAAACTACAGCCTGTGTCTGTTTGGCTGACTGTACCTGTTTGAACTTTTCCCAGTCATGCACGTCCTGGCCGACCAGCACTCCCTGCAGCTCCTCTGGTCGAAACAGCCTCACCAAATCCTGCTCACACACCAGGAAGAAGCCTCGCTTGAACTCCTGGAACAGATTCTCCACTGATGTGTTGAAGATACCATATTTCTAACATGTTCAGGACTCAGTACAATAACTGAATGAATTTAGACGCAGGAGTCTTCCAGGTCTTTATGTTTAGTTTGGTTTTTTGCTGTGTTATTTACAGAATTACAGATGGATACCATATATTTCTTTTCATCGATAATAAATTATAGTACGGTCTAATAGAGACGTTATTTTAAAATCAGGCGTCTAAGCAGAACACGTTCCTCAGCAGAAAACATTTTATCAGAAAGTCATTTCAGTGAGAATATTGGAATAAAGAAACCAAGCACTCCACTGTGAAACCACTGACAGTTTTCACATTAGATCACAGCCATTTATCTACAGCGGCTGGTCGGCCATCTGTTAAAACCTCATATGGACAATTCCTGTTGTTCTATAAGATGCTCTCTAATAGGATGTCTTGGATTTATTTATTATTCAGTTATTGCATTCCTGTTATGGCTGTACGCACACAGAATATTGATATGAAGTAAAAATGATTCTCTCGGGTTGCTTCTGGGATAGTGGAAAAACCAATATATTTCTAAAAGTGTGTTTAATGATTGAGCTGCCACCCAAAAATCAAGTTCTTATCTTGACAAAGCTGGATTATTGACCGCTGGTGAAACATCTGTTGTCCTGAAGGATAAGGACAACAGATGTTTCATCTTGATCTATTATATAAAACGGCCAAAACTGTGTTCAAATCCAAACTTTCTGGCTTCTTTTGGTTCCTGCTGAAGTGCTTTGGGTCCCCTCAGTTCATCCTTAGTCTGAGAAAAGTTTTGTTCTCTCTTTAAGGCACATTTCCTTTGAGCTAACTTAAACTCTGATTGGCTGTCCACTATAAACAAAAAGCATGAACAGCAGATCGGTGGAGTTTCTGTGCCCATGAGCAGAGCTGTGTGCCTGTTAGGGATATGTGTTCTTACTGGTATGATAGAGAGCTGAACGTAGGAAAGACAGTAGACTGTTTTCAGGTTGAGATTCATTCACATTTGGTTCTCCGTGCAGCATTTGTTCCGGTGGAATGGTGCATGTTCAACTGAGTTAAAGTAAACTGTAGTAAAATGTGGCCCACTGATGCATTTTCATATTCTTTTTCATTGAAGTCACGTTAGAAGCATTTTCCCTTTTCAGGTGGGTGCCCAGCTGGATGAGGAGAGGAACATTACGGCCCTGGTCCCTCGTCAGCCCCTGGAGGTCCATGAGACCGTGGCAGAGTGCATGATTTACGCCAACCACTGGGTGGCCCGCAAGATCCAGGAAGCTTTCCCCAACCAGGCCCTTCTAAGGTGTCACCCACCACCACAACAGGAGCTATTCAACCAGCTGGTGGACACTGCAAAGGCCAAAGGTTTCACCATTGACACCAGGTAATGTTTTTGACTGTTCAGTATAGAAACTGAGGAAATGCATATTGTAGTCCAACGCACATCATGTTCAGACACACAAGTGTGTGAACCTGAAATGTTTGATAACACGGGGACACACTCAGGTGTCACATGAGCAGTCAGACAAGAAGAAGACATGTTCCTTCAGCTCAGGTTGAGGTTGAAGCCAAATATGCTTCCAAACCAAAGACTAGAACATATGATGAAGCATATCTTGCCTTTGGCTTCAGCTTCACAACAGCTGTCGTGGCAAGGTCGGTCTCCCCGACAGAATTAGTTTCCCCTGCGTCGGGAGCACACGCTGGGCTGTCCAAATCACGGACAAACAGGATCCCACATTCTTGATTTTCAGTTCACAAACACTTCTTATAACGACTAACTACTCCTGAAACTTTGGAGGTTTTAGCTCTTTACACAGTAAAGTTACAGGATAAATATAATTATCAGGCAAAATGTCCTTCGTTTGTTAAAATAATCCCGTCTGATACCACGAGAGGACAATAAATATTTCATTTTCTGTTGTAACCCTTAAACTGAATGGTAATGTAACGACACTCAGGTTTCACTTTTTTACAAAACTAAAACATCACTACTTCCACGTCTGACTGTTTGTAATGGAGGCGGCGTAACCTGGATCCACACTCCGTGCCCAGCGAACGCTCGCCACGCAGGGGAACACATGCTGTCGGCGATGCCGACCTCGGCACAACGCTGATCCTGCCGCAGTTTGTTCCCCGGTTCAAATCCCGGACAAACAGGATCCCACAGCTGTTTATGCTTTTAAACCCGTTTTGCACAGAGAGCAGTGTTGAATATTCTCACACGGGAACAAAACAAACAACTCAAATAATTAAAGATGGTTTGTTTTTCTGTTTTTAAAAGAGGCAGTGATTTATTTAATTACAACCTGTAATCTATTACAGTTAACTTTTATTTGTTTAACTGTTTACAAAAGGTCTGAGGATCTGAGGCGTGGAATGAACTGCAATGGAGTTTGAAAACAAAATATGAATGTGCGGTTGGAGGATTGTGGGGGGGGGGTTAAACCAACAGCAGAACCGGTCCCAGGACAAGAGACATGGTGATGCAAGTAGCTTTGTGTCACTGACTGCTGAGATGAGAGGCCTCACTCATCCCTGGTTTCTGGCTCTGTTCCTTCAGGTCCAACAAGGCTTTAGCTGCCTCACTGGACCGAGCTGTGGACCCACAGGACCCCTTGGTGAACAGGTTGTTCAGAATGATGGCCACCACTGCTATGTCACAGGCTCTGTACTTCTCCACTGGTGCTCATCCTCAAGACCAATACTACCATTATGGTACGATACCGCTGCACAGCTTTTATTGGCTGCACTAGAGTTTCAGTGTGACTGTGGGTCAGTCCATCCATCACACGTCTGCACACACTTGTCCAACGTCTGTTGTTTGTGAAGAATTATTCGACTGAGAACTAGAAAGAAGGCTAACGTGCTGATATTTGCTTCGTTGTCGTAGGTCTGGCTCTGGATCGCTACACACACTTTACCTCACCCATCCGTCGGTACGCAGACATTGTCGTGCACCGCCTTCTTACCGCAGCCCTGCACATGCAGAGGGGCGTTGTATCTGGTAAAGCACCAGCCAGTAACAAAGAAGTGGAGGAAATGGCTCACCATGTCAACAGCAAGAACAGGGTCAGGGGTGTTTTATTGTTTGTGTTTTTCAATGATTCACCTCTTACTCTATTAACAGAAGCTGTGCTGACGTCTGTGTTTCATTTGCAGGCAGCACAGGCAGCCCAAATGCGATCCACAGCACTGTTTCAGTGTCTGTTTTTCAGAGAACGAGACCCTCAGACAGACCCGTGCTGTGTGGCTGACGCTGTTGTCTACTCCATTCGAGACAACGGTGTCTTGGTGTTTATCCCAGAGTAAGAACCTTCAGTCCTGTGTTTTGTTCTGCAGTCTTCTTCTTTTCCTTTGTTTAATGGAGCTGTACAGCAGCTCACAGACGGCCAACCACTCGTGTATTTTTAATAGACGAATTCAAAGTTTATGACAATGAATGAATTTGTTGGAAGATGTAATTGCACGCTAATCAATGTATATTTAACAGTATACACGCTAGTTTTATTTTCTCTTAAAAAACCTCAAAATGAGTTTTAAATTGTATAAATTTACTAAACTAATTCCTTAAACATTTATTGTGAGCAGGGAAAATCGGCTAAAACCCCGAATCTTTTCTCTACCAGGCTTTAAATAAGTTAATTGCATTGCTGAAGTTGAGTCTGTGGGGAGGGACGGTGCTTTGGAGCCAGCCTTGTGTTTGTGGCACTTCTACGTTAGCTTAGCTAACCTCTGGAGGTTGCTGCTTGTTTATTGCAAGGAAAGTGTAATTTAATAACATCAGTGTTCTCCATGCTTGTGGTGTTACAGGGATATGCAATATTAACAGTTTATTAAAATGTAACCTGTGGTCATTTTGAGAAGGCTGTAGAATCCATGTAATGATTAAAATCACAGGGCGCAAAGCAGGTTGAGTAATATCACTGAGTAAGTAAGGCTGCCTCTGACCACAGCCATGTTGTTCACAGGTATGGTGTGAGGGGGCCTGTGTATCTGAAGAACAAAGAGGGCCTGGTGGTGGTAGCGGGACAGGACGGCAGCTGTGATTGGCAGGGTGGCACTGTGCGAAAATACCCGGACCGCATTACCACCACCTCCAGCTGTGGCACCTCCACCTTCAAACTGTTTGACCACATCACCGTAAGTCACAGAAAACGCTAATCAATCATTTTAGAAGGTTTCCAGCAATGCAGCGCCTAAAGGCGACGATTCCAAATATATATGCATGAGTGTATATGAATCACAGGTTCATACGACTACTGGATCTTTTGTGGTCCAACATTAAGAGACGTTTTATGATCTTGTTGTGATAAAGTGTTGTGTGGTTGCTGCTTTGTTAGCTAATCTCAAGGTAACAAAACGTCAGTAAGATGAATGAGACGAAAATGATTCCTGAAAATAAATCATTTAAAGTTATTCAGTTTATTGTTTTAAATATTATATGAAAACAAAAACATAAGTGTGGGGGGGGGAGGCTCTCCTCCAAGACAAGAAATGTAATGCTTCCAGTTTGTGGCGTTTCTACACAAACCTTTTTGTAAAGGGAGATAAAAAATGACAGTGGGCGGTAATTGTTTTCACATAAACGCCTTTAAACGCTGCACGGTCGCACTCTCTCTCTCGCACTCGATAAATGATCCATTGTTGCTCTGCACACGTTTGTTACCACAAACGTCGCATGCACTTATGTCATTGTCATGAGACACTCTTGCAAACAAACTCACGGTTTAGTAACACAGTAGAGCAGCGTGTTTACGGGACAGTAACAGTAATCTAATTACCTTTTTTGCAACAGTAATCCCTTACTTTACTCGTTACTTGAAAAAAGTAATCTAATTATGCATTGCTGCCCATCACTGGCGTCAAGTTATATTAAGTTCAGGCATGTTACACACGATGATTGTGAGGAATAAGTGCATGTGATTTAAGCAAAAAGAGCAGGAAACATTACCCTAAGGTTAGCTAACAAAAAGAAACTGAAGTAACGGTGTGTTATTCTCACATCTTTGGCTTTAAGACATGAAAAAGTGACAGAGTACTGCTGCTTCCACTGTTATCAACATCTTTTCTTTCTTTCATGGACTTATCCTGGGGTCATAAATGTCAAAGGGCAAAGGCAATGCTAACAACATAGCTTACTGATGGATGATGATGGATGACACATGTGGCCAAAACAAGATAGAAAGAAACATTAGCCCAAACACAAGTTGTCCACCACAGCATTGACTGCTGTCAAGCTATGATCATATCAAACAAAGAGATGATGATGATATTCAACAAACAAATCAACAAAACAACAACCTCACTGTGACACTTGACCGAGGTCACAGTGTTAATGAATGTTTTTCTCCCCCTCTGCTCCAGTCTCCACGTCGTGTGAATGTTAGAAAGCACAGTAAAGAAAGTTCGTGTACGGATGGATGAACGTTTGTTACATTGGATACGTGTGTGTAACATACGTATCCAATTTATCCTATTTATGAACAAAATTGTGGCACAGTCGGAAACTTCTCCACTCTACACCACTGTCTACTTAGCTGTGACGCTGCGCACAGTGCTGAGAGGACTGCTGTTATATATTACGTCACAAACCTTAAGTGGGCCTGTCTTTGCATAGCATTCCATTAGACTATTTTCAGTAGGTGCCATTACTGTGTAGTGATCGAACTGAGGAATACTGTGACTTACGTTCTCTGCTCTCTTCAGGTTCGTATTTCTGTCCACTCTTCAACTTGCCACGCTGACCGTCTAAACCTCGAGGTCATCAGCAACAAGCCTCACCACAGTGCCAAGTCCCAGCAGCCCAGCCCTCAGGGCCGCAGTCAGCTGGTCAAAGAGGTGGTGCGTCAGAATGAAGAGGCGCTGGCTCAGGAGAAGACAGCCCGGCGCCCCAAACTCTCCAAAGAGGAAAGAGAGTTTCGTCAGAGCAAAACTCCCAGTCTGTACTCTATTCTGGAAGAAATCAGAGAGTTGGCTCTGATGGATCTGGAAAGGGCTTCACGCCTCCCGGCAACAACAGCATAGAAACGCTGTAGCCCAGCTTTACCTCCAAGCAGACACTTGTGAGAACTGCACGCTGTGCGCTAACAGAACGGTGATCATTGAAGATCACTCGTGCTGAGTCATCCAGGTCATTCTTGTAGCTCCAGATTGTGTGTGGACAAACCACACGAGTGTGTGAAGTCACAGGAAAGCAAACACAATATTAAGTAAAAACATGTCCCGCCATCTTTTTAGAAACCAGAGTCAAACCGAATCAGTGGATACGTTTTGTAAAAGTTAGTTTTTAAAATCACATCAAGTTAAACTTAGTTGTAAGGAGGATAGGGAACGTGTTAATGCCAGTGAAGTGTCAGCAGTTACTTTGACAAGACCTAGTACTCACTGCAAATGTGGTTCAATCCTGCAGGAAACTAGTCAACTGCAGCAGGTTAAAGAAGTCTGGTAACAAAAGGCTTTTCTCTCAGCACCAGTGATCTCAATATCTCACTGGTGGGATCAATGTCTTGTGTAAATTAAATGTCTTGTGTTATAGAACCATTTTTGGTGAGTTCACACATATTGTACTACCTGTGACCACTTCATACAAAACCCAGCACGAGTATTGTTCTGGAGATGATAAAACGTCCACTCGTCCATTTTCTTCTGCACGTCCTGGAATCTGTCCCAGCTGTCATAGGGTGAGAGGCAGGATACGCCCTGGACAGGTCACCGGACTGATAAAACTTCATGTCACTCATTAGCAGACTTTAAAATAAACCCGTAGAGAAATGAACACACCTGAGGTTGGTTGTATTGGAAGTGATGTATAAAACTAGGATGTATTTATCTTATAGTTTGTATATCAAGAGCCTGTATAGAAGACACCAACACCAAGGACATTTTTATTGTTTGAACTGGTAAATAATCAGAAGCGTTTTTTGGTTTGTGGATTTTAAGATTGTTTTCTAGAACTACCAACAGAAATATGAACTGTACATAACTATTTCAATATGTGTGCAGTGGCCTGTAATTAAAAATGGTGTTTTCATTAGCGCAGATGGAGCCACTTCATCGTGTTGCGTTTCATGTCCCTGCAGTAGCTTAAGAAAGAACTGTTCATAATTGAACGAGCACTTAATGCTTGGAAGAGGGTGATGGTCAGTTGACAGCTCACATACTACACACACACAGAGGCCTTTTATAGAAACATGTTTGCAACCAAAATTCTGCCAATAGTGAAACTGGAGAAAGAAGATGCATCAGAGCAGGAACTGTGGATCAGTTCAAATATTTTTCTGTAACAGATACCAACACATGGTAAATACGTTTAGGATTTGGACTTTTAAAAATAAGAAAAACATTTATTTCCATTGATTATAAATGTCTTTGCTAACCCAAAGCTGACGTCACAGTAGGAACATGTGCTCAAGATATAAACCACCAGAAATGCACAACATTACTCGAATGAGCAGGCACGAACATTGGGAAACCTTTAAATCTGCTCACTGCCAAAGCTTTTCAGCAGAAACTGCTGCACGTGAACTTTAATCCCCCTCTACACAGTCGTTGCTGAGCTGTTGCTCAGGGCTGAGGCCGGTCTCAGCCTCAGCGGGCTCAGAGTCTTTGGGGGAAGCGGGCTGGTTTGTTGCGTGGAGGTGTTGTTGGAAGGCTCGAGGTCAGGATCTTCTACAGTTTCATCTCCATCAGTAGAACCTTTGATGACATTTGGTGAGGATGCAGCTGGAGGTTTGTCTCCTAACATGTCAGCAGTCTGAGAGGCTGAAGGGCCTGAAAGGGTTGAGAATTAGAAACAGTGATGGTTTCAGTCAACACAGACACACTCAGTCTACTACGATTTATAAAAGACAGGCAAAGCTGAGATAATGAAAAATGAAACTGTAAACTGCAGGGTTCAAACTCATTGTTCAGGGTCAAATTTAAGCACTTTAAGCACTTTCAAGGTCCATTATCAAGCTTTTCCAGCACATTACCAAAAAAACAGTTTGCATGTTCCACTTGCATCACCTCAGTAAGACCATGTAAAAATTAAAACAAATCGTCTTAGGTTGACTTAAATGTTCTTTGTTCCTCTTTTGTTAAAACAGAGAAAAATGCACCACACAAAAATACTGAAAAAGGAAATGGTTGTCTTATATGCATATAGTGCACAAACTCAAAAACTCATTTCTCTCAAAAATGCAGATGTGCAAATGTGAACAAATCAACTTGTTAGAGATGCTCATCTCCACTTGGAAAAAACAACCACACAAAAGAAGAAATCTGCACAAATGAACAAGTCTGCTCATCAGATATTGATGCTTCTTTCCTACGTGACACAACAACAGGAGACAGATGTTTGGTACTTTAACTAGTTAAGCACCCACACCACCAAAAATGGGGGAAAAGAGAGGAGATCACATTTAATCGGTTATAACACGAGGTCAGAAATATAAGTGCAGACATGAGTGTCCACAGAAGCCTCTGAATCTCAGCTGTAAACCATTTCTACAAACACCAAACAGTTAAAAGAGCAGTTACATCACCATGAATCTGTGGACAGGTAACATCCATATTTTGATTTATGATTTTCTGGAGTTAAATGTGACCCAAAGTATATTTTATAGCATATAAGCTATAAAATACTTTTAAAAATTAGGTGAGGGAAATAATCATTTTTTTCTATGTTTGAGTCCCAGTAACTTTGACATAGTAACATCTGCAGTAATATTTACCCCTCTGATGACAGCTCACAAGCGTTAGCTTTATTTTGATACCAAGACTGTTTACACAGAGTTTGTAATTGCAGAGAAATACTCCATTTATTTTGGCCTCTTCATTTTCGAGCAGGAAGCTCAGAAAAGCCCTGGGGCCTAACAGGTCAAAGTTCATTCCCAATAAAACTAACTGTGAGATGTTTGACTACATTGCTCTCTGGATTATTGTTACAGTCCTAAATGATCAGCTTTAAAGTGTTTGTGCTAATAACACCATGTACAGTAAGTTATAAACTGTAAAACACATTTTTATGGGTGAAGGCTCATAATAGAGACCGATCAACAGGTCATTTTCTTTTCTATGGGTCTCATTTAAATCACATTACATCATTTCTGCGGTAAATGAGGACCCTGAAGAACGATTTAATGTCACTGTTAAAGATTTGTAGACAATAGATCGCAGACAGCTGGCTCCGCTTTAACTAAAGAGGAAGTAAAAACAGTTTGGATCACAAGTGTAAGGCAAAAACAAAAATACTACGCCTAATTGAAGCTGACATCAGACAGGCAGTAAAGAAATCAATGTTTCTACATGCTTTGCCTCTTATTACCAAACTCCACACTAATGTGAGGAATCTCTGGTGGTTTGGACGAACTGTGCAATACGGGAACTCGTCACTCGACCTTCAGGGTTTCTGGTGGATATATACACTAGATCCACTTCACTATATTGTAAGGAGTATTCACTCACCACCCATCATCCAAATCATTGAATTCAGGTGATCCAGTAACTTCCACAGCTGTATAGAATCAAGCACCTAGGCATGCAGACTGCTGCTACTAAGTGGAAGTGTTTGGGAACGACAGCAACTCAGCCATCAAGTGGTGGATCACGTAAAATCCCAGAGTGGGGGTCAGTGGATACTGAGGCGCACAGAGGTTGCTAATTTTCTGTGGAGTCCATCGCTCCAAACTTCACGTGGTCTCCAGATTAGCTAAAGAACAGTGCACAGAGAGCTTCGTGGAATCCATTTCCATGGCCGAGCAGCTGTAGTCCAAGCCTTACATCACAGAGTGCAACGCAAAGCAATGGGACACAGCGGTGTAAAGCACGCCGCCACTGGACTCTAGAACAGGAGAGATGCAGTCTATGGAGCGACGGATCACAGTTCTCAATCTGGAAAGCCGATAGACAAGTCAATTTAGCAGTTGCCAGGACAACAGAGCTCCAGGTTTGGTGGCAGGGGATTTCGGTGCGGGGTTGTTTTTCAGAAGTTGGGCTCAGTCTCTTCGTTCCAGTGAAAGGAACTCTTAATGCTTCAGCATGCAAAGACATTTTGGCTCCCGACTTTAAGGGAACAGTTTGGGGATGGCTTCTTCCTGTTCCAGCATGACTGGGCACCAGTGCACAAAGCAAGGTCCACAAAGACATGAACTCTGGCATGGGAGTCCTGACCAGAACACCACTGGGATGAATGAGAGCAGAGACTTGGAGCCAGGCCTTCAACATCAGTGTCTGACCTTACAAATGGTCATAAACTCCCATAAACACTCCCAGAAGAGTTGAAGCTGATATAGCTGCACAGGCGGACGTCGTGAATGGGATGTCACTCGAGTTCATATGAGTGTGGGGGCAGATGAGCAAACACTTTTGGCAATATACTGTACATTCAATGTTTTGCTTTTTGTATTTTCATATAAAGTTAATACACCAATGAAGCTAGATGATCCTTATGAACCTTCGCTGGATGTTTTGTAGCAGAATCATTAATTATTTCTGTTATATTGTGTCCCAGCTGTATGATACATTTTTGCCATTCTTACCAATTTGCTGCTGGCGTGCGCGCCTCTTTTCCAGGGCCCGCTGTCTGTTCAGCTCAATACGTTTCTGCTGCTCTTCGGTCAGAGAGGGAGTAGGTGGGGAGCGAGGGCTTCGGCAATCTGCCCTTGGGGAGCATTAATAAAACTCTCTCTGCTGAACAGATCAGGATCCCCAAATGTTTCCAGTTCACGTTGTACCTCTTCGTCACCAGCACCTGAACACAATTTCAAGCAGTGCTGATAATTAAGTCCTGTGGAATATGGCAAGTATTTCCTATGTGCACCTGCAGGTGTGAATCCACCGTAGGGCTGTTCGATACAACGATATATACAAAAACGTCTATTTCATTTTACGCTATCGTTTGTTTCGTGGTGTCGCAAAATAAACTGTTTACGGCAATATTCTTCATGGTTCTGATGTCACTGTAGTAAAGTTCTCTCTTTCTCTTATATATAACCACACTACGGACGGACAAGCGCCTGTTTTTATGCGTTGTCGTTAGCAACAACGACGGTAAAACCATCGCGTGTCCGCTTGTTTATGTTCCACATAAACCTTTCAGAATAAAGCTCAAGATCCTGTTGAGGCTTTTCAAAATAAACGGAATCACGTGAAAGAGCAGAGTGTTTACGGATGAGAAGTAAAACAGAGCCGCCAGGTGCTAAAAATAAACCTTAGACTCAAACGTTAGAACAGGCTTTCCCCCGCAGCACGCCGTGTAATAAATACTCACAAAGAAAACGGCGCCGTTACAACTTCTGTCTAAAAATGTGTCGTTTCATGCATCGGTTAAAACACTCGACTCCAGCTACATGACGCGCAGCTGGAAACACTTCACGCAAGTCGAGATTCACAGAATTGACAGAAAATGTTTACATTTCTGTGATTTATATCGTTATCGGACGATAGAATTCTTATATCGGGAGATGAGACTTTGGTCATATCGCACAGCCCTAGTCCACCGTATCCCCATCAGTAATGATTTTTCTTCTTACCATCTGTACTTGTAAAATCTTCATGTGTCAGGGGCATGTCCAGTCGTATTCGTTTAAGACATGTCTATAGAAGAATGAGTAAAAAATTACAAATTCTGAACATTAGGAATCCCACACGCTTGCAGGAAATATTCTACTGCTTCCTCTCACCTGCACTTCCTTTTGCTGCCGAGCCTTTCCACTTTGTCAATAAAATCTTCAAATTGCAATTTGGGGTACAACCTGTGGGCCCAGTTCTCCATCTTCTGCATCAGCAGCCGCAGGTCTGCAGCCTAATGGGGCAAACATCAAAAACAGCGAGTAGTGATATGAAAGAGGGCTGTGTGTGATAGGACGCTTCTTCTTCCCACTAAAAAATGACTTCCAGTCATTGGAACAAAAGACATCTTAATTTGGTAAACCAACCTCTGGTTCCCCTCACTCATTTTTGACCACGACAGAAAGGGCAACTTTTGACCTTTTAGTCTCAAACCAAATTTAGGACATCTAATTAAAAGCTGACAGGCCAAACAGATTTAGCTCAAAAACCAATGTTCATTCACATCTGGTAATTGGTGGGACAGATGTTATCATATCCTACCTCGTGTCCTTTGCCTTTGAACTGGATATTGTCAAAGAGAGTGCCCAGAGCTGGAAGCCCTCGATCTGATATCAGCCTGGGAAAAAATATTAAGACTAAGTTAAACCATTAATGGATTACAAGCAGGGTTAGCAGCACATCCAGGCGTATTTGGCTTATCCAATTCAGGATCGTGGATGGCTGAAGCCCATCCCAGCAGCCAGGTCGCCAGCCTGTCACAGGGCCAACACAGACAGACCCTCTGAATGGAAATGTCAGTGCCTTCAGATGTACCATGTTCAGAAGGCAGTAGCTTGTTGGGGGGGGGGGTAGGGTGTTTGGTTTTCAGGGTGCCCACAACCTTTCTTTTCCTACCTGTTTGTACATAAGGCAGTATAATGAGAAATAGTCAAATTTCTCCATCTAAAAATAAAAAATTGCTATATATATATAATATATAATATATATAAATAAAATATATTATATATATATATATATATATATTATAGCAAAGTTGCAATTAATTTGAATATTTTATCAAATGAAAATCTATGTTTTTCTTTAATACAGCTTGCAAGTTTTATCCTAAGTATAATCGACGTTCTTACTTAAAAGCTTATTTAACATCCTTTGATTTAGTATAACTTAGTTCTGTCCAGGAACATTGTGAACAGAACAGTAACAGAGGAGTGCCACTGGAACACCCACTGGGAGACTACTGGGAACGAGCCTGACTTATGGTTGGCAATACTAACCAGGTTCACACTATAGGTGTACAGAGACTGGAAACATCTTTCTCACACACATCCAGGGATGTCTCCAACGCTCTGACAATTTTCAGTCTGGAACTTGCCCATCCAAATGATGAAAACAACAATGGTATTAGAGTCTTTCTTCTTTAAATGACTGGCAGAGTGAAGCTGCACCATCATCACACAGATGCAGTCATTTGTACCCGCCGCTAAAGCGTAAGAAGACGCTGCAGTACTCTGCGAAACGACAGGTGTCGCCACTCAGATAATATCACATCACTTTTTTTGTGCAAAGTTCTTTCCACAAACTTACGTTTTCAAACATTTGCAACAACTCTGTGTGTCAGTGTGTCTCTGAGCCTCTGTGCACGATTATTAGTGAAACGGTGATAAAAACCAGTGCAGTCACAGACTCGTGTTCAACCTGGCTGCAACACTGACAGTCTGCACACGTCAATCAATGATTTTGCCTCCTTGTGTCCCAGCTCACACAAGATGACATCAAATTCCTATTTAAATGCGCATTTTAATGCATTTCAACCCTCTGTCGTGATATAAATGTCTTTGCTACCTGTGGGAGTCCAGCTTGGGTTGGGGTCTCTTCACGCCTCTCCTTTTAGCAGTAGGGACATCAGCCAGCTGTGATACCTCACCTTCATCTCCTGCATTGAAAACACATGACAACAGGATGTGTTTCTAACTCATTCTGTTGGCAGCGTGGCAAACTTCAAGCTTATCTTTAAATCCAGACAAATTATAGACTGGAGGTTACAGAAGAAATGTGCTGGTTTGAACAGTATCTGATAGGTTTCATTTGCTCACGCAAACAAAAACATGTGTGTTGTTATTGTTAGAAACATCCAGTCTCAGAGAGATGCTGAAAAACCAGTTCATGCATTTGTTAATTCTAGGCTGAACTAACAAATTCATTATTATCAAGCTGTTCCAAAAAGCTTTGTGGAAGGACTATGAGAGGTTGTATTTCTCCCACATTAGCCTTTTTTCCTGAATCTTATTTTTCTATGATTCTTCATTAAACCATGAATTTAAAATACAAAGTTCTGAATCATCACATCTTAAAGACCTCATAGTAATCCTGTAAGAGCACAGCAGCATCTACCATCTGCAAAAGGGTCTCCTTCCTCCTGGCCTCCCCGGCCTGGGGAGTGTGGTGGTGGGAGTGGGGGAAAGCTTCATCCTCTATGCCGTCATAGTCAGGAATGTCCTGCGGGCTATTTTCCTGTGGGTCAACCATGGTGAGTCGGTCCTGGAGACAAAGTAAAAGACGTGTGAGCCCCAGTCGTCAACAGCATCAGCATTAAGTTACATGAATTTAACTGCAAGTTGAAAAAATGACATTTATTTCTGTAAGAGTAATTCTTTACTGTGTTACAACATCAACATGAAAACCTAAAAAACTGGCATTTACTTTTTTCTTTTTTTACATCAACAGGAGGAGCTGTACAGACACTCATCCCACCTGGAATTATACCCCAAATTCAGAAATGTACTATTATGATACATTAATGGTCCATTATGTTTGTTTCACAGTTATATACATAATACAATTTATAGATTTGTATATATTACATT